TTTTTGTTACTTATGGCCAAAATCTTCCCAACTGAAATAAGATCTAAAGGTAGCAAAAAAGCAAACATTGACAGACGGTTATAATGTACTGGATGTTTTCTAAAATTTCTCCTCTTGGTACATCAATTTCATTTACAGTCATTTAAAAATTTCCTTTGAAGTTTACATAATTCCTTTCCTCTAAATTGTCACTAACCATTTCTTAAAAATACTGTCACATTGTATATTATTGCTGACAAAGACAAACAAAACAGAGAGAAGAGAAGCAGCAGCTGAACCTAGCTCTGTGTAAGGTGCAAATAGTTTCTCTTTTACAACCAGTTTCAAGATTGTGGTAGTAAACTTTCTCCAGTAGGAGCCCATAGAGATAGCATGTGAAAGAAAGAATCTGACAATCTTCTCTTAACTGGTTTTTAAAATAAAAACAACTAAGCACTTTCTTAAAACTAATAATATATCCTTCACTTACTTGCCTCCTGGCCATATTGGGAGCATTTACATACATTTTTAATAACCTTAAATAAAAATAGCACATGCAAAATGCTAAGCATAGCGTTTGGCACATAGTATTATTAGCTATTCTTATTAGCAGTGTTCTACTTAGATCAAAATACTGTGCTAAATCTAGCACTGTGAGTGTCCCAATGTCACTGAAGCTCCCGTTAGATTTGTGACATAGCTGCTTGCCTTCCTATAGCCTGAATTTTGCTTTACTCTTATCAATAAGCTTGAAAAATTCAGGCTCAGGGCTGGGGTATGACTTTCATTTTCAGATGCAAGCAACAACTTTGGCATTTCTTATCACAAAAAACCCATACGTGAAAGGTGGCAAGCCCAGTGAACTTCCTGGGCGGAGAGGTTTTTCCATCAAAGCTGGCAGAGTTTGATCATCCACCATTTTCAGAGTTTGACCATTGAGTTGGACAGATCTGAAAGGAGGAAAGATGCAGTCAAGTTAGCCCAGTTGTGCGTGCCTCACGCTCCCTACAGAACTCGTGAAATCTTCCGTAGAGCAAAAAAATTCTCTGTGGCAGCCTATATTATATAACTTGTATTTCAGCACTATATCAATTAGGTATTTGACCTAGATAACCTTTAAGCTACAATGGTAGAGTTGAGTAGTTGTGACAGAGACCATATGGCCTGCAAAGCCTGAAATATTTACTCTCTGCCCTTTACAGAAGATGGAACACATGCAATTTATATTAGGCAAAATGACGGAAGTATGAAAAGGATAAATATGACACAACTTCTAAAGTCGTGGCTATTTTATTTGATGGCCAATAATTGAAAACATTTTTGGATAAAGCAAATAAGGATATATGTGGAATAGAATGTAAATTTCATGAATGTAACATAAAAATGACAGCCAATGAAATTTCCCACTTGTAACTATACCCATTAACTGTCTAACTCCCCTCTCCCCACAGAGGGTATTCATTCATTTTCTTATGTTGTTAAAATATTTTTGTAGAATGTGTATTGCTGTGGTGAAACAAAAACAATTTTGTTTGGCTAAACCATAGAAAAATTTATGTTTTCTGTGTATTTCTCTACTGGAATTCACATTTAAAATGGCCAAAAAAATGAAACAAACTTTAAGGACAAGAGTTACTCTTTATAAATATTTATGATTATTTAAATCAAATTAATGCATGCTGACAGCAACAGATCCATTATGGACAAGAGATTATGAAGAAAAGCTCTAGTCTGCTTTAGTTCTACTGAGAGTTACTTTCATAATTCTAAATGATGCTTATATATCTATCTTTTTCTCAAATTCTTTTTATATTGTAAAAAAGTACTTTTTTATTTTTGAAAACTTAAAAGATTAATGTCAGAATTATGTCTATGTCATATATGCAATACATCTAATATATGTACAACACTTAAAACAGTGCCCTTGCATACAGTAAGCACTATGAAAATATTATTATTCAGATAAATATACCAAAAGTAACCTCTTAAATCATCATAACCATTTTTAATATACTGATATACATTCATTCCTTCATCTCTTTTCTATGTATGTATATACACATATATTTTTATTTAAACAAACATGGGTATGCCATACATATTTTCTTAAAACTTGATTCTTTTCCCCTTAACATTTGCTCACACCATTCATCCCCTACATAATTTTAATGGCTGCGCATGATTCCATGGCGTGAGTGTATTACTTTATTTACTTAATTCTCTAATGTTAGATATTTTGTGTTTCCATGTAGCATTATTATATACTTTTCATTTTTAAGGATCTCCCACACCCTATCCTTACTAAGTATCAATGAGCAGAAAAAGTGGTTTCCATTTAACCTTGGTTAGATGCTCAGCTCTGGATTCTGTAACTTAAGTCATATTGATAACATACCCACGACTGTGCCAAAGGCTAACAAGGCTACATTGCAGTTGTACTGTGTCCACACATGTTGGTTTTTGTTTTAAAGCCTATATCACATCAATTTCCAGATGGGGTTGGGGAGGAAATGCCATAACTATTGTCAGGAAACCACAAACAAAAATAGTTCTTGAAAACATCTCTAAATGACAATGATGAGTCTGTTCCGCATGAAATTAAGGACCTTGCATGAGTACACACAAAAGTTTCAGAAATGCTTTTTTGTATTTTGCTAGAGTTTAAAGGTAAATCTGGTCATTGTAAATTAATACTGCTGTGGGTAGGATGAGGAACATAAGCAAGATACTATACTACTATGCTACATTGTTTAATAAATATATCTAAAAGGTGCTATAAGTATACTAGGTATAAGCTTAAAGTACGATGATTATTTCCACATCAGGATGGCAATGAGGGTTGACTTTTATTTGAGGGTAGCATCTTGTTTCATATTTTGAAGTCAGTAACACGATGACAAAGAAATAGACATGTTTGTCAAGTTTCAGATGAAACAAAGCTGGAAGGAATTAGCAAGCAAGAGGTTTGGGAGAATTGGGGATGCTGGGCAAAATTTATCTGAGATAAATATAAAATACTGCTTTCATATTAAAAAATATGTTCACTCAAATATTTATTAAGTACTTACTATGCAGGACCCTCTATAGGCACTATACAAGTTGTTCAAGTAAAAAATATTTTTTAAGGGGATCACTGTTTAACTTTTGGAGGTCATTAATAAGAGCAGGTGTACAGACTTCACTCTTCAGATGTATTTGGGATACTTTTTGCAAGATTTTAAAGAGAGAAGAGTGTAACATACATACTCATGAAGGATAATTTATGGGAATAAAACATTATCAATAATTTCACCAATTTTCCAATTATAAAACATAAAATACGTGATTGGAATGCAATAGGGTCTGATAAATACAACAAAAAAGTATAATCATTGAAGAAATTGAGCATATTTAGCCTGGAAAGAAGACAATCCAGTCATCCTTCAAATATTTGAGAATTCTCCTGGAGAAAATGAGGTATTCAACATTGCTTCAGATCAGGGGTAGCAAACTCAAATGCTCACAAGGGCCAAGGAAGTTATCTTTCTATACAAGTACAGTAGGAAAGGCAGAAGACAACAGAGTCGGGTAAGGACTGTAGAGAACTAAAAAGCTGAAAGACCCTGTCTAAAGTAAACAGCCCAGGCCGGCCCGTGGCTCACTCGGTAGAGTGCGGTGGTGATAACACCAAGGCCACAGGTTCGGATCCTATATAGGGATGGCCGGTTAGCTCACTTGGGAGAGCGTGGTGCTGACAACACCAAGCCAAGGGTTGAGATCCCCTTACCGGTCATCTTTATATAGGAAGAAAAAAAAAAAGTAAACAGCCCCAATTCAACTCCAGCTAATTGGGAAAATAAGCCAGAGTTTCCACAGTATCCATTTTTAAAGAAAATCTGGAAATCCAGATATTTTATTACTCGTTAATTTTTAAATGTTGGCAATTAATTAAAAACAAAAGTTAACACAGAATGCACACCAACCTCCCCTACCAGAAAAGGGGAAAAAATCCTCCAAACCCACTTGTCTACAAGCATGAGGCATAGTTTCTGACCTTTGCTCTAGAGAATAGAACTAAGAGAAGCAAGCAGAAGCACAAAGAGGCTCACTTTATCCTTGTCAGAGTGAACAGTAGCCTAGAGAGGAAGAATCAAACCAAGCTGGATGGACTTAGATGGGTGGTTGGACTAACATGATCTCTTAAGACACTTCGAACTCTCCAACTATTATTCAGTTACTACAGAAAAGCTTCTTCCTTATCAGCAATAGACATAAATATGCTAAAGAAAAAATAGCCATTTCAAAAAGGGTCAGAACCTATGTAGAGAAAAGTATCTATTATCCAAAGATACATTATTTGCAATGGGGTGGGGGGAAGTTAAGCTAACCATGACATTTTATAAAACATGCAGCCCACTGAAAATATCTACCAAGGCTATGCATGAAAAGGTGCTTGGGAAAACTTGTGGATCTCTTCCTGTCCACCCTCCCCTTGCCATTTTCCCATTATATTTTATATGATTACAGTTAGAGTAAAGTAAAGCATTTGGGAAAAAAATTAAGGCACGGTACCCAATGTTAATAATGCTTGTCTGTGGGGGATAAGACTTTAGTAAAAGCATGCTTACAGTACTTTCTCAGGTTTCAGTGTTAATAGTCACTGAAAACATCACTTGTACAACATTTGCAAAGATGTGAGGAGATGGTGAGAATTTTGTAAAATTAATTTTTTATGCTCTAATATGAGAATAGTCATGATGAAAAGAGCTCCTTCGAACACACATTGGACAGAATCCTTAAAATGTGTATATGCCTAATTCTTCAAGACTCAGCAGTCATTTTTTGGTACTCTGTTGACTATGGGCTTTTATAAGATATATTCAATGACTTTTTTACAACCAAAATGTATTAGAACCAACTTCAAATAATCCACCTGGAAGTACATTTCTGGCCATTTTTTTCTTACTCTAACCAATAAAAAAACTACTTTAATGCTGTAAGAGAATCACACCCAGCTCATATGGTATGATAGTTTATACCAAACCATGTGCCCTTAATAGCAATTACATGTAGGTATGTTTTGTTTTAGTGATTGTGTTACAAAGAATTATGTTTGTATAGAGCAAATCTGAATGCATTGAATGAATCTTGATATATCAAATTATATTGAAATGCAAACTATTTTCTAAGATAACTGCTAGTTGGCGTTTATATCCTGCTTTGGACACTCAGAGTGAGTTATACTGTATTAATAAGTATTTATATATAAACTTCATGAATATTAAGAATTGTTAGAATTTAAAATACAGTAGTCCTCCCTCATCTGCAGGGGATGCATTCCAAGACCCCCAGTGGATGCCTGAAACCATGGATACTACTGAATCCTATATATAGTATTTTTTCCCTATCCATACATACCTACAATAAAGTTTAATTTATATATATATATTTTTTTTCCTTTTTGTCTTTTTTCGTGACCGGCAACGATCACAACCCTCAGTGTCGCGCCCGTACCGGACCGGGACCGGCAACGGGATCGCAACCCTCAGTGTTGCGCCCGCACCTCACTCAGCCAGTGAGCGGCCGGTCTGTACGTGGGATCCGAACCCTTGGCGGGAGCTTGGCACACTATAGCAGTGCGCCACCGGGCCGGCCCTAAAGTTTAATTTATAAATTAGGCATAGTACTCTTGCACTTTGGGGCCAGTACTAAGTAAAATAAGGATTACTTGAACACAAACACTGCAGTACAGATACTGACACTCATACCAAGACAGCTGAACTGATAACTGAGATGACTACTAAGTGCCTGACAGGCAGGTAGTGCATACAGCATGGATAAGCTGGAGAAAGGGGCCATTCCTGTCTCAGGTGAGACAGAGCAAGATGGTGTGAGATTTTATCAGCTACCCAGAATGGTGCACAACTTAAAATTTATTAGTTGTTTGTTTACAGAATTTTCCATTTAATATTTTCAGACTGTAGGTAACTTTAAACCACGGAAAGTGAAACCAAGAATAAGGGGGTACTATTATAGCTTTGTTTTTTGCTCCCTATCAAAACTCTCTATTCTGATGATCACCAATAAATAAATACATTTATTGAGAGTTTGAAATGAACAGGGAAAATTACTCACTTGGAAAGTAATCCATCAGGTCCTGAAGGTTTTACAAGGTATTTATCCACTTGTTTGTTAAATAAATGATATGGTAACTGCAACCGCTTGGTGACGTTATGGAGGTTTAAGGCATACAGAGTTAAATCTCCTTCTTTATACCTTGGACTAAAAGCAAATAGGTTAACTCAATAAAAATACTTATCTAATTTAAGCAAATAAAAATTCAATTACCAATATGATCATGGATACTAAGTATTAAGATCCATAATGATGATGACCCTGTTAGTATCCTTCCTTTTATGATAATATTGACCACTCATATGGTCCTATTTTGAAAACATGATAAAAAAATATTGCTCTTCACACTTACACTTTCTAGGCTAGAGCTCTGAGATCTTGGCTGCTTTGCCAGGCTGAGTTGCTAGGAAGACAGACCACCCATTTTCAAAGAAAGGAAGATTAAATGGTAAAAAGCAAATTTTGGGGGTTCATGTGAATTCAGATAATACACCATAAAAACAGGGGCTTTTCCTAGCCTTATGAAAAGACTGAAACAAGAATATTAAGTCTACTAACACTTTTCGGAATTTATCCACTCAAACTGTACCCCTACTGCTTCCTAGTGGGGCCCTCACTATGCGCAGGGTTCCCAATCACCAGAAATGGGAAATGGCAGGAGACATCTTTGGCTAGAAGTAGTATTTTAGTATCATCCTATTAGGAATGATAAATTAAAACTAAGAAGAAGAGAACATTTCTAAGATTTAGGAACATTTTTTGCTAACTATAGCCAGAGTACAAGGCTACAAAAATCTCTATGTTCTCTCAAGTCTAGAAATTGTGGTGCAACTTTTGAAAATAAGATTGTTGCTGTTGTTACTGTTCTCCTTCTTTTAAGTCTTCTTATTATTAAATTTGTCAGGTATGATGTGAGGAGATAAGTATATTCATCTAATTATTCATATTAATTCATATTCATATTTATATTCACTCATAGTCCTTCAGTGAATTAATTTTCACATAAAAAATTGTATTTTCTCACATTTGTAAATTCTTTATTAAAATTCAGGGTATATTTTCATTATAGATTATGACAATTAAAATCATTGTATAAATCTTTGAGGAGCTGCAAATGCCTATATTTAAGCAATTTTTTTTTTAAATTTAGGCTTTGGCATCATATCACGAATACAAGAAACAAAAAAGAACAATAATACACCTTAGACCCACTGTATAGATCGAGGCTTGCGATCCCGTTGCCGGTCCCCGGTCCGGTACGGGGGCAACACTGAGGGTTGCGATCCGTTGCCGGACACGGAAAAAAGACAAAAAAAAAAATCATTGTATAAATCTTTGAGGAGCTGCAAATGCCTATATTTAAGCATTTTTTTTTTAAATTTAGGCTTTGGCATCATATCACGAATACAAGAAACAAAAAAGAACAATAATACACCTTAGACCCACTGTATAGATAGGTGGTAACAGGATGTTAGAGTAGGAAGTTATATGCTTATTACTGATTGTAACTTATTGATTGGTACAGGGCACGTTTCATACTTACTGGTTGATGTTTGTGCAGTGAAGGTATACTCGAAGTTTGCTTTGGTCTGGGTCTCTCACACTTGCCATCAATACTTTGGTGCCAACCAGTTTCTTGAACAGAAGAGATAGCCAATAATCCTAGTTGTGATGGTTGGGGAGGAAAGGGACAAAAATAAATCTTTACTTATTTCCTTATTTAACAAAACCAGTGATGAGCAAATAGTTATCCTACAAAGAATGTGACTGTTATCCCAGGGGTATTTAAATAGGATTTGTCTCTTTTCTCAGTGCATGTGACTACAATGAATCTGAGGGCAATATGTCATTTACTGCTTTTTATCACCAAAGCACTATGTTTTTATAATTCAGAGGGCCATACCCACTAGGAGGTATATTTCAAGAATGCAATCCATTGCTCAGAGAGTTGAAATATTCTTGGTTATCTTTCATCCAAGAATTCAAAGCAAAGCTCAAAGCAGAACTTTTTGACACACACACACTCACACACAAACAAAGACAAGTTTTTGAAATAAAACTTTTGTATGTTTAAGAGGCAAATAATTTCCTTTAAAACGTTATAGCACCCCTAGTTAATGGATTAGGCATTTACCTAATCACTAGCTATCAAGGTCAAAAAAAGAGACAACCAGACATCATGTGCTTCCCAAAGGAAGCACA